TAGAGAGTGGGGGGGGGGGAGCGGGGGACGAGGAGGGGCGAAGAACGAGAGAGGATGGTGGGGGGACTGAGTAGAAGAACATATTAACTGGCCGAACGCAACGGGTGTGGCAATATCCAAAAAGGAGGCTGATGCCTTCTACATACATTAATTTTTGCTGGACACAAGGCTTGGGAGAGGCGACACCCCAGCGAATCCGCGCAAGCTACGCAGCGCAGCATACCTGGGTAAGGTAGAGCGTCATGAAACTCTTGACCTTCTTGAGGTAGTCCTTCGCGCCCCGAAAGCCGTAGATTGCCTGCCTCCCGAAAAACCTCAGCACAAGGCCCGTGAGCATGGGAAACAAAAAAAATGGGGGGGTAGTGTGGCTGCGTGAAACATAACCACCAAACCGCCACGCTGCTGTTTTCTGATTTGAACACCGTAAAGGACTCTGCGGGGCAAACATCCATCAGACGCACTAAAACGTACGTGTGAGTGGGTTCGTCCCCATGTGCTCTGGCGCCGGTCTTCGTAACGTTCCGTGTACGTCTCTGACGTGTCCAGCCGAGGGCACACGACACAACGTCCGCGGGGTGGGTGATTTCTTGCCGCCGTCAGGCATCAAGCACAGAGATTGTCATCGGCTGATGCGGGTCACCAACGACAATGACGCGGCACTTGGTCCGCATCTCGATGATGTCCGCCTGACAAGGATTAATATCCTGCGCCTCGTCGATCATGATCATGTGCTTACTGCCCAAGTCCGTCTCGGAGCTGGTACGCCTTCATGCAGGTGCTGAAGGTCGGAGGGATTCGGGGCCCCCGGGTCGACCTACTCGCGGCGGCGGGGGAGGGGTGCATCTCCCCCCAGACCTTTTTCGCGGTGGCCAGCACCCACCCTTTCGATGGCCGCTCGACCCGCCTAGTGCGGCTCTGGCTCTGGGAAGGTGACTGGGGCAGCAACGGTGGCATCTTCAAGTGTTCGGAGGTAATGTCGGGGTCGCTGGAGGCGCTGAAGGCGCCGATCGAGTTGAGCACGACCTTGGCGTGCGAGTAACGCGTCTTTGTCACCACACCCAATAATGACACGGGCGAGAGAGAGAGAGAGACCGAGAGATGCACACACAGATGAAGAAAAAGCGAGAAACAGCAGTCAGGCAGAGAATGAAAGCCAGACGCTGATTTTAGGGTGTGAGAGAGACAGATACATAGACACAACGACATAGGTGCACACAAGAAGACAGACAGAAACAGCGAGAGAGACAGAGTGGCAGAGAGAGCAGAGATAGACACACGGGCCTTGTCGACAGACAGACGGACCAATTACATGACGCAACGGGGCGGTAGGGGGGCGGAAGGAAACGGCGCGGCGGGAAGAAAGCAAGCGAGAAGAGACCGACCGCGTGAC